ATGGATAGGCCCTTATCTTCCTCTGGGGAAATGTTCTATGTACTATGTGCATGCAAAAGAGATTATGTTTTGGATTCAGAATGGCACACTATGCCCATAAGAATGTCATAGCATTACCCCAATAGAACCCAAGCACTGTAATTCTCTGAGTATGAACACAAACCAAAAAAATCACATTCCCTACCTTTAGCTCTTCCTGGAACTTCTTTTCTAGTAGTTTTGCTGCTTTTCGATCTTCTATTTCCACCTTCCACTTTTCCGCCACTATTCTTGCTTTTTCTTTGGCCATAACATCGCGAAACTTCTTCTCAATTTCTGCCTCTTTTTTTTTCCTTTGAAAAAATTAGTTAGTACTATTAAAATGTATGTAAAAACTAACAATGAGCTGTTTTTATTTTATTTTGGTCTTTTAAGAAAATGCTTCCAATGGTATATTTAAAACGGCTAAAAATACTGTTTATTTCATCAGAAATTCAGAGCTGTCCTCTGCACACTCCCTGTGTTATTCTACCAAGCCCCACTAGTTCTTATCTTTAACTATGTATATATGGGATGTACTGCATATATAATATAATATAATATAGGTATATAGACATATACAAATATATTTTACATTTCAGGGGGAAAAAAACAACAAATTTTTAAAGGAGTAATATTAGTGTCAAATTTTGTTTTGCTTGTGGCAGTTTTCTATGTTCAGTGTGACATCGAGGTTCTATCTTGTATCTATGTGCGTCTAGTTATTTTGTAGCAATGTCAGCAGTATATGCTTTTATGTTTTACTCCAAATATCTGACATACAGTATATCTATATCTATCTATCTATCTATCTATATATATATATATATACACTATATTGGCAAAAGTATTGGGATGCCTACCTTTACACGCACATGAACTTTAATGGTACTTTTTTGTACTTTGAAAAAGAAGGGGGGGGGGAAACAACCTGTTGACAGTTTTTGTTTTTTTTTCTCTCTCCAACTTTCTTTTCCTCACCTCTACAAACAGATAGTCTTTCTTAGCAGCCCTGCAGATCAGCTGCACATCAGCACTCCCACCCACCCCATGGTGCACTTTACCTATATAGGAACACAATAAAACTTGACCTCACTACCATGCAGGTGCCCAGCAGCTGCCTTGCATCTACCACTCTGCCTGTCACTCATACAATCCCACTTTAGCCTTTTTCATACCTCTCTCTTTGCATACTGCCACCCCTTTCATTCCTACTACTCATCATTCATTCTATTGTCTCATACTTACTCTGCACAGATCACCCCACAATTTATATATTTCGCCCTCTCTCCTGCCCTCTCCCTATTACTGCACTCATCATCTCCTGCTCATTTTAAATCCACATGCTAGGTTTACCTCTAGGACACTGGGGCATGTTCACCCGTACAAAACACCCTCTCATCTCACTTCACTCACCCTTCTGCTTCTCCTGACTTCAGGGGATATCTCTCCCAATCCTGGCCCTCTCTTTTCTAACACTCACCCTCCTAATCAGCACTGCCTTTCCTCTGGCAGCAGCCTTAATCCACACAACCTGATTTCTATTCCCCTGCTTCCTAGAATCGGTCCTCCCTTCTCTTGTGCCCTCTGGAATGCCCGCTCTGTCTGTAACAAACTCACCACTGTGCATGATCTTCTCATCTCCAATTCCTTTAACATGCTAGCTGTTACTGAAACCTGGCTTCAGGAATCCGACTCTGCCTCCCCTGCTGCCCTCTCCCATGGTGGCCTCCACTGGACACACTCACCCAGACCCAATGGACGGAAAGGAGGTGGTGTGGGTATCCTTCTATCCCCACAATGCACTTTTCAAGTTCTGCCTTCACCTCCCTCCCTATCCCTCTCCTCTTTTGAAACTCACTGTATTCGCCTTTTCTCTCCAATTTATTTGAGGATTGCCATTATCTATCGACCACCTGGACCAGTATCTCGCTTTCTTGATGACTTCTCTGCCTGGCTACCCTACTTTCTCTCCTCAGAAATACCCACAATCATTCTTGGTGACTTTAACATTGCTACTAACATTAACTCCCCGGCTTCCACTCAATTTCTTAACCTAACCTCTTCTTTTGATCTAACTCAATGGAGACAGACTCCTTCTCACTCTGATGGTAACACACTTGATCTTGTTTTCTCTCACCTATGCACTCCTTGCAACTTCTCCAACACCCCTTTCCCGCTCTCAGACCACAACCTGGTCAGTTTCACAATCATCCTGTCCCCAACACGGACTCCCCCTACACGGCACACTGTCACCTGGAGAAACCTCCGCCACCTCGACCCTTCTCTTCTCCACTCTGCTACTGACTCTCTCTATGACAAGATCTCACCCCTGTCCTGCCCTTACCTGGCTACTTCTGTTTTTAACTGCTCACTCTCATCCTCTCTAGACACTTTGGCCCCCTTCACAACGCGCAGATTTAGACCACGTCCGCTGCAACCGTGGCAAACTGAAGTTACCAGACATCAAAAAACACAAAGCTGCACTCTTGAGTGACTGGCAGAAAACTGGGTCTCTGCAAGACTTTACCCTGTACAAAGCTGCCCTGGTAAAATATAATTCCTCCCTCCGTGCTGCCAAACAAACTTATTTTGTCACTCTCATTAACACACTCTCATCCAGACCTCGTCAACTCTTTTCTACCTTCAAGTCTCTACTATGTCCTCCACCACCACTCACTAACTCACTGCCCAGGATCACTCTGATGGTAACACACTTGATCTTGTTTTCTCTCACCTATGCACTCCTTGCAACTTCTCCAACACCCCTTTCCCGCTCTCAGACCACAACCTGGTCAGTTTCACAATCATCCTGTCCCCAACACGGACTCCCCCTACACGGCACACTGTCACCTGGAGAAACCTCCGCCACCTCGACCCTTCTCTTCTCCACTCTGCTACTGACTCTCTCTATGACAAGATCTCACCCCTGTCCTGCCCTTACCTGGCTACTTCTGTTTTTAACTGCTCACTCTCATCCTCTCTAGACACTTTGGCCCCCTTCACAACGCGCAGATTTAGACCACGTCCGCTGCAACCGTGGCAAACTGAAGTTACCAGACATCAAAAAACACAAAGCTGCACTCTTGAGTGACTGGCAGAAAACTGGGTCTCTGCAAGACTTTACCCTGTACAAAGCTGCCCTGGTAAAATATAATTCCTCCCTCCGTGCTGCCAAACAAACTTATTTTGTCACTCTCATTAACACACTCTCATCCAGACCTCGTCAACTCTTTTCTACCTTCAAGTCTCTACTATGTCCTCCACCACCACTCACTAACTCACTGCCCAGGACATTGCCACTGATTTCAAAAACAAAATAGATACAATTCGGGATCAGATCGCCACTGTCCAATTAACTTCCACTATTAATGTACCAGACCCTCCCTCACACTTGTTACTTTCCTCTTTTGACCCTGTCACCACAGAGGAAGTTACAAAGCTCCTCTCTGACACCACCTCACCACTTGCCCCCTGGACCCTGTTCACTCAAAACTACTCCGGTCACCCTCTTGCTCTATCCTACACTCTCTTACTCACATTTTCAATCTTTCACTCTCTACTGGAATCTTTCCTACCCCTCTCAAACATGCACTAGTCACCCCAATACCCAAAAAACCTTCACTGGACCCTACCAACCTCAATAATTTCAGACCTATCTCCTTACTCCCATTCACCTCTAAACTACTAGAATGCCTTATCTACAACCGCCTCAGTTGCCAACTCGCTAATAACAACCTTTTGGACCCCTTTTAGTCCGGATTTCACCCTCAACACTCCACTGAAACAGCCCTCCTAAAACTCACCAATGACTTAATAACAGCTAAAAACAATGGCCACTATTCCTTACTCTTGCTATTATACCTTTCTGCTGCTTTTGACACTGTTGACCACCCGCTGCTCCTCAAAAGACTCCACTTGCTTGGCCTACAAGACTCTGCTCTCTTGTGGTTCTCCTCCTACTTATCTATGCGCTCCTTTAGTGTCACCTACAATTCTAACCCCTCCCCTCCTTTCTGTAGGTGTTCCCCAAGGCTCTGTCCTTGGACCCCTTCTCTTCTCTATCTACACCTCCTCCCTTGGTCAACTAATAACCTCACATGGCTTCCAATACCATCTCTATGCCGATGACACTCAAATGTATCTTTCCACTCCACAACTCTCCCCTTCAGTGTCCTTGCATGTCACTAATCTACTAACTGACATATCAGCCTGGATGTCACAACATTTCTTAAAACTCAATCTTTCAAAAACTGAGATCTTGATATTTCCTCCTGCCCGTGCACCCTCCCCAACATTTCAGTTGAGATTGATAACACAACTATCCAGCCCTCCCCTCATGCTAAAGTCCTAGGTGTCATCCTTGACTCGGACCTCACCTTTCTTCCCCACATCCAATCACTATCCAAATCCTGCCGCCTTCACCTTCGTAACATCTCCAAAATACACCCCTTCCTCACCAATGAAACCGCAAAACTACTCATACACTCCCTTGTTATCTCTCGTCTTGACTATTGTAACTCCCTCCTCATTGGCCTTCCACTACACAGGATATCCCCCCTTCAGTCTATCATGAATGCAGCTGCCAGACTCATCCACTTGACCAACCGCTCAGTGTCTGCAACCCCCCTCTGTCAATCACTACACTGGCTTCCACTCGCCCAGAGGATAAAATTCAAAAAATTAACAGTCACTTATAAAGCCATCCACAACTCTGCCCCCGGGTTTATATCTCAGACCTTGTCTCAAAATGTCACCCTAACCGTCCACTCCAGTCTTCCCTAGACCTCCTGCTTTCCAGCTCCCTAGTCAACTCCTCCCATACTCACCTCCAGGACTTCTCTAGAGTCTCTCCCATCTTCTGGAACTTTTTACCCCAACCTGTACTATGTTTGACCATTCTTCCAGAAGCGTATTTGTGAGGTCAGGTACTGATGTTGGACGAGAAGGCCTGGCTCGCAGTCTTCGTTCTAATTCATTCCAAAGGTGTTTTATCGGGTTGAGATCAGGACTCTGAGCAGACCAGTCAAGTTCCTCCACCCCAAATTTGCTCATCCGTGTCTTTATGGACCTTGCTTTGTGCACTGGTGCGCAGTCATGTTGGAACAGGAAGAATCCTTCCCCAAACTGTGCCCAAGAAGTTGGGACCATGCATTTGTCCAAAATGTTTTGGTATGCTGATCCCTTAAGAGTTCCCTTCACTGGAACTAAGGGGCAAAGCCCAACCCCTAAAAAAAAACAACCCCACACCATAATCCCCCCGCAACCAAACTTTACACTTGGCACAATGCAGTCAGGTAAGTACCATTCTCCTGGCAACCATCAAACACTGACACGTCCATCGGATTGCCAGACAGGGAAGCGTGATTCATCACTCTAGTGAACACCTCTCAACATCTCTAGAGTCCAGTGGCGGTGTGCTTTACTCCACTGCATCCGACGCTTTGCATTGCACTTGGTGATGTAAGGCTTGGATGCAGCTGCCCGGCCATGGAAAACCATTCCATTAAGCTCTCTATGCACTGTTGTTGTGCCAGTCTGAAGGCCACACAAAGTTTGGAGGTCTGTAGCTATTGACTCTGCAGACAGTTGGCGACTTCTGCGCACTGTGCGCTTCAGCATGCACTGACCCCGCTCTGTCATTTTATGTGGCCTACCACTTCATGGCTGAGTTGCTGTTGTTCCCAGTTGCTTCCACTTTGTTATAATACCACTACCAGTTGACTGTGGAATATTTAGTAGCAAGGACATTTCATGAAACACCTCAATCCAATGATTTGGAGTGGTGGCCCAATACTTTTGGCAATATAGTGCATATATACGGTATATCATTTTTTTATTTTTTTTTGCTTTGACATCTAATGTTTAGCTCTTAGTATATTCTGTAAATCAACCATTTACATGAGCTGCTTTAAATGTTGGACCACTAACATATAATAGAATCAATATGGCTTTCTTTCTACCATGTCAACTCTGAAGAAAGTTTCTTCAGGCAAACAGAAGGGTATGAAAATAAACAAAAGAATACAGGAATAATAGATGGTCTCATGTCTTGTAGTAGACTCTACAGACTTTCCTAAATTTATCGACAAGAGTACCTTTAGTTCACACAATTCTGTTGGAGCTACCTTATTTGAACAGCAGAATTAGTTGCTGGCAGAAGAAGAAAGTGAGTCATATGGAACTGCAACCCTCTCCACTTGAGCTCCATTGCGGAAAGATAACTGCAAGCATGGGTAGCAATGACTCCCTAAGGAATCACTTGAATGCTGGGTTCTCCTGCCCTTCCCCATGATGACCTACCCTTAACTGGATCAGACAACCCACTGACACACTAATAGACCATTCTTCTTCTGGAGCTTAAGCATTGTGATCTTCAGGACAGGGCATCAGCATCTTTGTTCCCAACTCCTAGTCCATACTTCAGACTGAAGTGCAATCTAGCCAAAGTTTCCAACCAACGATGCCTGGTAGCATTTAACTTGGCAGTGGTGGTGATGTAAGTGAGTGGATTAACCCTATGCTAGAAGTCATTAAGCTTGTCTACAACTGCCCATTTCAGTGGCAGGAACTCCAGATTTTGAGTGTGTTTTCAATGGGGGAAAGACTTTGACTTACATAAGCAACGGGTCTCAGATGATCATCTAGGCTAAGATGGGTGTTTGAGTTAAGCTTCACTTTACCTGCTGTAAGGTCTGTTCACATTGATCAGACCACTCTTGACTCTCACCCTTTTGGACTTTGTATTCGGACTAGTTATCTCGCCTGTTTCCTGCTATTGGGATCCAGACCTGGCACAAGGGGCTCTGCCCTGCAGTACATGGCAACCGCTCTTAATTTAATTTTACTTCTGCAGTTTCTCCAAGCATTGTTCATGCTCCTCTAGAATTCTTCCATAGAAAACTGAGGTCAACCAAGGTACACCACCACTTCTTTCAAGTTCATATCACCCAAAGTTTGCTCCATCACTGAAACATTGCAGGAGATCAATTCAAGTGTTTGGGCATTCTTTCAAATTCATAAAATGCTTTGAAGTTCTCAAATGACCCCAGTATCTGCCACGTAGAAACAGTTTGCAGGGATTTAATCTTCTGCTCTCCTCACTGAAAAGGAAGGAGAAATAGAAGCATTCTGGCTAATTTCACCAGAGGGTCTGTGGTGTTGTGGACACTTACTAGAATTCTCTCTTGGGCTCTCAATAATGCTTTAGAAATTCACCCACCAATGCTTCTCAGGGGTCTTCCTTCCTGAAAGCAGTCAATCTCACAAACACTGTCCCAAAGAGCTGATTGAGGGCAAATGCATCACAGACTGCTACGTTCTAGACGCCTTCATGTTACAAGTCTCAGAGCCAGATGAGAGGTAGCCTGTAAAGCTCTGGCCCTTCTCTCTCAAGTATGCAACTGAATCTGGAGTCCACAGGGGTCTTTTGGTTTACTATCGCAGCACTGTTTGCCCTATCAGCATTGTTGCACTCTCTCTTTTGGCAGGCTGATTCCTCCCTGCTCTCTCTAGTTGCTTTCTTTTTGCACAGCACACAGCCCTCCTTCTTCCCTGTACCTGCTCATGGCCTTTCTGGTTCCTGTGGGTCAGGACAGGACTTGAATTCCTGGCTGCAGATGTGGCCAAACACAGTGCTGCTTCATCCCTTCTCCTAGCAGCCTGTCTATCAAAGGCAATGGGAAGAGAAGGATCTGGCAGTGTGGCAGTGAAGATGCCCTGATCTATACAGCTCCCACTGGTTAAAGGGCTCACCAGCAAGGGATATACATGTACTAACTTTAGCAATGTTACTTAATATGGTATTGATATACAGTATTGTAGCTGTATACATGATCTAGATTATGTGTATATGAATGTAATATGTTCTTGGAACAGAACAAAAACTAGGAAGTATGTTGTATCATGAAGAGTCACGAGGAACAACTTATGATCATACATTATATTGAGTTTAGATGCAATGGTGCAGAACATTTTTAGGCGAGCCTTGAACTGTAATTCTTGTTCCAGGATATGTTGCCTAGCTGTAATCATATAGTTTATTTGTTTATTTTGTGTAATTTAGGTAAAGAGGCAGGGCCAGGTTTACTATTAGGCAGAGTAAGCAAGTGCCCAAAGGTGCCCTCCATTGAGAGCACCTGCCTAATTCTCTGTCAAGATATAACACCGGCAATAACAAGGAGGGTGCATTCTGCATAAAATGCACCCTCCTGCTCCAAGACCAGTGGTGCCTACAGGAACCTCCAGCTTGTGCAAACGCAGAGGAAGGACACCAGAACAACATAAGGCTGCCCTGTAAAATGCCTGTCTGATGCGGACAGGCGTTTCTGGCTAGGGATGGGCTCGATGTTCGAGTCAAGTGTGAGTTCGACTAGAACATCGGCAGTTTGTGTGTTCGGCGAACACACAAACTGTCAGGACTTCAGGGCTGTGCGCCTTGTAAAGCCCTGATTGGCTAAAGCCTTGCACCTGACCACAGGTCAGGTGCAAGACTTTGCCCAGTCAGGGCCCAGTACTCTGTAAGAGCTATGATTGAGCAAACTCATGATGACTTTGCCCAATCATGGCTCACCTGTCAGTTGCTGTACAACTGTAAACAGTTGGGCGGAGCTAGCTGTCACTGCAAGTTCCACTTAAATGCATATGTGTTGCTGGAATCTGTCAAAATCCTATTCTGCGGTGGGAGTTCATCGTGAGCGGACGGGACAGCGGTCGCCGTTTTTTCAAATTATTATTTCTATTTTTTTTTTCTTCATTTCGTTGAGTCATCATTGTCATGGACAACGCTGGACGTCATGATTGACCCTGGATTATGTTAATGGACCATTTTTGTTTTTGTTTTTTTAAATAAAAGACTTGTCAAGAACTTGCCTTTTGGTTTTTTTTCAAATAAAGGATTTTTTCAAAAGTCTGTTATTTTAATGTACAATTTGATTTAGCCCTTTAGTGGATGGGTACAACTACCTCTTACTCATTCACAAGGGGGGGGGGGCTGCATCTGGGTGCCCCCTTTATTAAAGTGGTACTCTGATGTGAATAAGCCCCCTGCCCACACCCCCACAACCACACAACCAAAGCACCAGGGCTTGTTGGGAAGAGGCCCTTGTCCCCATCCGCACGTGAACAAGTTGCTTTTCCAGGGGCGTACCCAAATCCGCTTACCCTTTTTGTGGCCAATAAATTGCATATAAGCCTTCAGAATCTGGTCAATTGATTTTCAAAGTTCTAGCCCCATAGACTTGCATTAAATTCAAGTTCGAATTCAAACTTTTTCCATGTTCTAAAGTTCAAATTCGAACCAAAGAGGGAGTGTTTGGCCCATCACTAATTCTGGCAGCCTTGCGCAATGACTGGGTCCTTTTCTGCAAGGTCGCCAGCTCAGGCTAAGCCCATCTGTTTAGGAGGAGTTCCACATGCTGCACTCCAATAATGTCTCACTTAAAAATGCAGATTGTTTGATTTCAAGCCTTTGAGGCAAGTTTGATTGTTTTATAAGTTTATTTCTAAAAAAATATTTTTGGGAATAGGCTAATCCCACATACTAGTAGCAAATCCTGATTCACTAAATAATCCAATGCTGTTCCTTCAATGCAATTTTGACTGATAGCTAGGGGGGGAATCTGAGTTGTGATTACATTAACTCACCATTGTTCTTCTGCTTCCTTTTGTGCTTGCTGTCTGGCTGTCTCAGCCATGAGCTCTTCGGCTATTTGCTCATATGACTTGTCCCCATGGGCTTCCCCCATGATCCATACCCAGACCTCTCCATCAATTCCCTGTATCCACTCAATGTGCTTAGAGTTATCTGTAGAAAATAAAAAATGTAAAAAAAATTAAGAGAAGAATGAAACTGACAGAAAAGCAGAAACAAATATTTAGAAAAACAAATGTGATTATTAATCTAAGGTTTGCACATTGTATGGCACAATTCGGCAGATTAACTCCTGTCAGTGAGTTATTCTAATATATAGGTCCCACAATTATTTAGTGCAACTGTTTTTTCCACCCCACCCCCTTAGAAATACCATCCTAACCCAGTAGGCATAAAGGATGGTTATTCCTGGCTGAAGGACCATTAATGTGCAAGCTCCTATAGTGCATATACAGTACCTTTCAGAAACCTGTGGGTGCTTCAAAAGGGGGTCAGTCTGATATTCTATATCATAGGTGTGTCACCAAGAAGCACCAGAGGTAGGCGTGCAGTAGACTTGTGCCAGTTTGTTGAGAAAAAGCAATGCGTCTCCAGGAGCTTTGTATTTTTGAAGCATTGTAGCACTTTTGAAGCATTGCAGCAATCTTGATTTGAATTGAAGATTTACAAGAACCTCTGCCAGCTCCTTTCTCAAACCACCTATTGAAGGGGAGGATCTGCCCTCATTATCATTCCCTTGTAATCTCAGTATTGTAATAAGAAAATTAACAGAATTTGCATCCATTTAGACATAAGGCATGAGCCTTAAAGGAGAACTATGGGGTCAGTGTTTTTCCCCATAGTTCTCCTTGGGGTAACGGGAGGACACAAACTAGCGTCCTCCCGTTACCCTAAGCTCAGTATACCGCGAGCTACAGCTTGCGGTATACTGAGACGCCGCACCTGGAGCGGATCCCGACTTAGATGACGGGATCCGCCCAGCTGCGTGAGTGACAGATGGCTCTGCCTATCTAGAGGCAGAGCCAGCTGTACCCGCCCCCGTCCGTTCCGCCAGTCAGCGCTGGCAGATCGGAGCGGGGAGAGGGGAATCCAGCCCCTCCCCCTGTCACTGCAGAGAGCCGTGACAGGATCGAGAGGTGAGGGAACCCGGTATGTGTTCCCTCACCTCCCGATCTACTGAGCCGACCTGTGACAGTCTCATTGTCACAGGTCGGCTTAGAACTATGAGATGAGTGGAAATCACTCATGTCATAGTTCTCCTTTAAAAGGTACCCCACAAAAAATAGAACTCTTGCTGCTGGGGATGCCTGTAGTTTGATTTCAGGCTGTGTGCACCCTTGGGGAAAAACAGTAAGCCTATTATGTAAGCATTATATATATTGAATTGGTTGTTCTGATCTAAAGCCCCAAATTGCCATATTGTAAGAAAGTGACTTTTTTGGCAGTTTTAGAAAATCATGGTGGCTGCAAGCAAAAATGGAATAGCAATAGCTAAAAAAAAAAGATAAAATGGCAAATGTAGCAGTTGCATATGCTATATCTTTTTACGCAAGAGTTGAGTTTTCTTTTAAGGGATGTAGGTGTTTTAGAATTATTTTGGAATTATATACTGACATGATTTTACCAACAAACAGTGCTTAGTTGGTTTTAGTAAACAGCACATATTCCAGAAATGCATTATATAATCTAATTTACACGCATAAATGTAAGTGGAAAAAATAAAAGCTTATCAAGAGAATGCATTTCCTATATGAAAACTATGAAACAGAATGAAACCTTGGAAATGAAACATAATTTTTTGCTGACAAAGCTTTTTTTTATTTCAAAGTATTGTTTTAATCCTAATTGTTTTAATAAGTGCACACAGTAAATACCAGCATATTTGCAATTTGCCATATGCAGTTGAATATAACAGGAAAAAAATTGCTAGGTCAAAAAATAATGGAATATGTTCTTTATCAAATTTATAAAAACACAGTATTATTACTTATATTAACCTTGAATGTAACCTTGGTGATTGAAAGGCTTGCACTACATCATCAGTGTGCACTGTCCTGGACTAAGATTGTGCAATTTGTCATAATCAGCGCTAGATTTCCCACTAGGGGAAGTAAACACTTGTTCTGCGAATCCTAGCGGTTAGGGTCAGTAATCAAATCTGATATGTCAATTTGTGACTAATTGGCTATGAATGCTCTAGTAACTGTATTGATCAACACTGACCTTTAACACTGAGCTCTGTGGTTCTTAAGGAAATGAAACTGGAAGTAGTACAGTATTTTGACGTCATAACTCTTTTTTTTTTTTGCTTCAAACCTATTTAAATATGGGTCCTTTGGCAGCCTTTTTAGCAATTTTAAGCTTGACTACACTGATCTCTCCATTGTATCTATGGAGGTAGACGTGGTTGTAATACAGGAAGGACTTCAAATATGTCTGGCTTTGTTCATCTCCATTACATTGCAGATTGAGGGAAAGAAAGATAATGTTGGTCCTTACCATTCAGCTCATAGCAAGTGACAAGGACATTGCATTTCTGGCAAGATCAATAGGCATTTTCTGAACTTTCTAAAAATGTGAAATCGAATGCTGCCACAACATTTAAGAACGGGATACGTGAAAAGTAAAACATTTTAGTTTTTGGGGTTTAGATTTGCTTTGAAGGAAATCTGTAAAAAAAAAACAAAAAAAAAAACTAGTGATTTAATTGTCACATCCTTGCCTGCGATCAATCCCTGGACCTTCTGTCTTTGGAATGGTTGCTCTCCTCTGGAGCCCCTGAAGGGCTCTTGTTTGTGTTAGACTTCTTGGCGCGGACTAGTTGCACTGTCATAGTCTCTAGACTCACCTACTAGTCAGCTGCAGAAAGTTGCCTAATGTACTCTCTATAAATAGTGATTTCCTGTTCCTGTCTTTGCCTGTGTATAGGTCTTGCTTTGTGCGTCCTGGGTGTGATTATGTACTATCTGTTGCATTTGTGGTTAACAAACTTCTGCTTGTTCCTCACCTGCTTCTGGATTATACTTTGTACCTTGCCTTCTATTAGTTGCTGTTCTGTTTCTTGCCTGGATTCTGACTTCGCTTAGATGTCCCATTGGTGCCATTACCCTCTGTTGCTGACCCTGACCTGGATTTTTGATGCTGATTCTGCTATATCCCCTCATGATGTGGTATCCTGCTTCCCCGTTACAGACATTGGCTTATACCTGACTGTGAGTTACTCTTTTATTTATTGTATCTACTGCCTAGCTATCATTCTATTGGTCTTGTGGACTGTTCGCACATCTTTTACTGGCTTACTCTATTTTGCAATATTACAACCTGTTACCCCGCCTGATATCAGGAAAACAAGACTACTAGTCAGTAAATTGAGATGATGGGTGGGACTTCTTGGCAGGCCTGAAATTACGTTCTTAGAAAGCAAAATATACTGTCTGAAATTCAGAAGTTGAAATTTATCAAAAAAGGAGATATGTGTTGATTTTGCAAAAGGAACAAGAAAACTTCAAGCGTACTGCTTAACCACCCAACCAAAATCTTTACTTAGTTGGTGTTCATGCACCAGCTAGGGCCCAATCTATAAGGTCCCCAGTTGTCTTCTGTTTAGAAAGCTCACTAACCAAAGAAGAAACTGTGGCCTTACTATGAAGATATTTGTGCACTTTCGGTTACACTGCGATTACAGCAAGTGGGGATGATAAGCAGGGGTGTCCCTAGCCTTTTTGCCCCCTGAGGCAGGTGCAGGGTAGGTGCTGGTGGTGCACGCTAACAGGGGTATGTGTAGGGGGTGCTGGTGGTGCACGCTAACCAGGGGGGCCTCTGCAGCATCTCCCTGCCCAGCTCTGGCTCTGGCCAGCATCACTGGCTTCAAGGAGCTGGGTGAGACACCGGCCAGAGCATCCCAGGTTGCTAAGAGCTGGGTGGGGACATGTGTATAGCTCTTACACATCTCCCCACCTGGCTTTTAACAATGTGGGATGTTCTGGCTGGAAAGAGGGCAGCAGGCACACTGAAAACATTGCCACTGTCACTCCCCTCCCCCCGCCGCCCATGACCCAAATAGATGCCGTCTGAGGCAACAGCCTCAGGCTGACTCATTATAGGGACGGCCCCAATGATAGGAGATAGGAGGAATAGGCATGAGGGGTAGTGAGTAATAAGCAGATCAGCCTCAGTCTCTGATTGATATGCAGCACACCGAGGCACAAGGGCAACTTAAAAAATCTTACCGAATTAAACACATTTCATCAATAATGCGATCTTTGCTGGCCCTAATGTATTCACATTTTAAATATATATATATATATTTACAGATATATTTGGGCTGACTCACTAAATACATTTTGTGAATATTCAGCATACAAATCATTCCAGTGTGAACCTAGGTGTAAGCTATTTTTTTTTACTGAGAATCCACTATAACTGAAGGGCAGCCACAGTCCTCATATTATAAACAAAGTAAGCCCAGCAGGAATCCTTGTTTCTGCTGCTTGCACGCTCAACTCTCTTTCCATGATATGCCTAAATGTAACATTGTATTGCTTGTTGGTTGCTGGGTCTGTGGTGTATGGTGAATGAATTGTTTGATGCACTGCTTTGTATCTACATAAGCTTAAGAGGTATGTAAAAAAAGTGTGTTAGAATATAGAAATCGGACCCATCAACATTGAATAGACAAAATAATTTGCACACATGACAGCATATATCGTCATTTACAATTTAGTAAAGATATGGTGGCATCACATTTTGAATGGTTAAAAAAACAATTTTACTCACTGGAACTCCTAACTTCCACTTGTCCGTAAATGTAATGCAATCATGATTTTGAATAAGGGAAAGAATATGCTAATATTACTAAGACAGATAACCATTGTCTAGATGCTTAGGAGTAATATTTCTCAGCATGATGTAATAAAAAATGGGACTTGTTCCAGTGTTCAACCACAAATTGCCTTTTTGTGCAATACCACAACGTACATAAACATTTATGCAAATTTTTGGAATTGGCTATTTATTATACTCTGAATTTTTTTTCAAGGAAGCAGCATTTCTGTCTTAAAGAAAATGTGAACTTGAGAATAAATAAGGCACCTTTCATTTTTACCAGTGTTACAGTCTAGGAAAAATTTACAGGGTAATTCCAGTTTTGTAGAAAAAAAAATTTCAGGTCAACAATATTCCTTGCAAAACAAATTCTACTGTAGATGCATATCTGCTTCAAATCTAGTATCTAAAATATGTTAAGGCTTAACTCCAGGCAAATAAAAAGCACAATTTAGTCTATTTGTAATATAAAATCATCAATTAATATTAGTCTCAGACTATGAACATTTCTAAAGGAGAGCATAAGGATACCTTAATTTATCTGCTGTTACTCTTTCATAGTACAGCCAGCTGCCTGGGGTGAGTCTTTGATCAATCTGCATTGCCCTATTGAAGTATTAAAAAGTAAAGTTCCTGACTTGACCATGCTGTGTGGCAGGGATGTCTGGATCACAAAACTGATTGGACAGAATTGCAATTTTTTAATAGACATTTTATTTAAAACCACAATCTACAGGGTGTTTAATTTAAAGTGGTAAAGAAGGTTTTGAGAGTTGAGAAAAAATGTGCCAGTTATGAAAACATTGACAAAATACTGGAGAGCAAGAACAAAGCCAGATAACTCAGAGTAAAGAGCTGCTTAAAATTTCTGATTTCTTCTTCTGATTTTTTTTGTTAAAAATGGTTGAACCAATAAACCTAAAGTGCACCTGTGCCCATACTATACTACATAATTTACAAGAGAGGGAGAAAATCCAGGCAGTTTGATATAATGAGGGGATCTGGAACAGTCCATTAGTGAAGGGCAGGGACTCTCAATCTCATGGCAGGTAATAGCTCTACAATGGTTCCCACCTGAACAGCTACATAGCAAGGTCTATCTGAGGATATATTTGCTAAGTCACAACTCTCTATTTTAGGAACCTCTGAGTATTAGATGCATGCTTATTTCTTGTATTTATTGAATCTCACAAGAGGTTCTTACCTTTGCCTTTGTCCATATTATTGTATGGATACCCAGATTTGCCATTTAGGAATACGTTTCCCTTGTCCATATTATTATATGGATACCCAGATTTGCCATTTAGGAATAAGTAGGGAAGGGTTAAAGCCACTGTAAAATTATTTATTTATTTTTGTGCTGTTTCTGGTTAGATTTCCCTTCACTTCCTATATACTGAACAGAAAGTGAGAGTAAATCTATACAAAGTGACAGAAATTCCCCTCATGGACAGTTGTCACCAAAACAGACATTCCCATTGGAAGATTATCCCTCTATTCTTGTTCTAGGGACAATTGTAACATTCTGGATTTCCAGTCATTTTCTGTCTCAATGACAATTCCCAGCAGGAAATATAGAGAGGTTGAATCTCTCCAGTACAACAGGCAGCAGAAAAAACTTGACAGGGGTTCTAATGTTTATAATCTAATATTATATACACTTATCCGATATACCATTATGACCACTGAGAGGTGATGTTATTAGCATTGATTATCTTGTTCCAATGGCAAAGTGGGTGGGATATATTTGGCAGCAAGTGAGCATTTTGGTAGAAAAGTGTCTGAACACACAGTGCCTCACCGTTTCTTGTGTATGGGGCTGCAGGGTGCCCATGCTGACCCATGTCCACTGGCAAAAGCCTACAATGGGGATGTGAGCATCAGAACTGGACCACAGGGCAAAGAAAGGTGGCCTGGTCTGATTAATCACTTTTCTTTTATATCATGTGGATGGCCAGGTATGTGTGTCACTTACCTGGGGAAGAGATGGCACCAGGATGCACTACGGGAAGCTTGGGAAGGCAAGCTGCCGGAGGCAATGTGATGCTTTGGTGATGTTCTGATGGGAAACCTTGGGTCCCAGCCATTTTATTTGACACGTACCACCTACCTAAACATTCTTGTTCACCAAGTACAACCCTTCATGGAAATGGTATTCCCTGATGGCAGTGGCCTCTTCCAGGAGGATAATGTGCCGTGCCACACTGCAAAAATGGTTCAAGAATGGTTTGAGGAACAGAACAATGGGTTCACGGTGTTGACTTGGCCTCCAAATTCTCCAGGTGTCAGGATAACGTGCACAGGTGCCCCACACCATGTGCAGGTATCTATACGTGAGGACCAAAATACTCAACTACACCAGACAGGGCTATGAACTTATAGTTTAATAGACATACAAAATCATATAAACGCCAACATCCCCACCAACACCCACAAGCAAAATAAATTAGCCAAACTAAAGGTAAACAGAATAACACACTGAGTACAACAGGGCAGGTCAACCAGGGGAGCAGTACCACAGGAGGGAAGGAGTCAGGAGTCAGGGTCCAAATAGGCAACAGGACTCAGGTTAGGGCGACAATACTGTGGCAAAATTCCCACTGCAGGGAGGGATTAAATACCCTCCCAGGTAACACCAGGTGGTGCTTATTTGCAGAGCCACCTGCAGGTAAGCCCTGGAGCTGCAGGTCCTAGTTCCAGCGTCACAGCGCCACCTGGAGGTGCTCAAGTCCCAGTAAGCCACTGACTGCCCAGAGACATCTGCAGGTGAGCACTGGAACTGGATCTGCTCTAGCTCCACAGTGTCACCTGGAGGTGTCCTGGTCCCTGACACCAGGTCTCAATTGAATCCATGAAGGCCCCACCTTGCAACTTACAGGACTTAAAGATCTGCTACTGACGGCTAGTCCATGGACTCCATGCCTCGATGGGTCAGGGCTCATTTTGGCAGCCAAAGGTAAGCCTACTCAATATTAGGTGGGTGGTCATAATGATACGGCTGATTAGTGTATATGGTTTATCTTATCTAAACTACGGTACCCAAAATTATCAATGGGCAATGCTTTAAGCCTATTGCTGCCACCGCTGTATGTCATGCCTCGCTGGCATCATGCCCTTTTAAACAGGCTATAGCCGCCAGGACTCTGTTTACATGTGTTAAACTGTCAGCTTTACAGTGGAAGCGATTCTGCCTCCCCCCCACCCGAAACCCCCACCTTACTTCCCCTCCTGCAGGCCTGGGACGAGCATCATGGGTGTTGGTGGGAAGCGGGGGAAGAGACCGGAGAACATCTCTTCCCCTGATTCACTTCCCTCCCTCAGCTATCATTCCCCAGCTGCAGAAGCTTCTTTGGAGTAAAAAGATGACACTAGGTGTCTAATAGACCCCTACAGTCACCTTAAAGAGTACCTGTCACCACTAGTATGCTATCACATAGGGGGCTTGTGCAATGTTGGTTGAATAATTATAAAATAATTGTAATTAAAAAAATTGTTAAAGTCCCTCACCCCTGCGAACATGCGCATATTTACGTATACACCCGTCAGCTGTGCCTACATATAAATATGATGATTGCACCGCACATGTTTGGTTTTGCTGCATCCACCAGAGGGAAAGCAATAATTATAGGGCAAATATTCACAGGTATCTCGAAACTGATGACCAGTACGAATATATGTGAACTGGAGGCCATTGCTCATGAGGAATGGGCTAAGATTTCTCAGGAATGTAGCCAGAAGCTGGTGTCTAGCTATGCGTCTCGTTTGCAGCAAGTCGTATCAGCAAAATATAGTCCTCTACTAAGTACGAAAGATGTTGGCCATGAAGTGGTTGAATATTTTAAGACTGCAGAAGTCATTAAAAGTTGCATTATCAGTTGAATTTGGGGAAACCACTTGAAACTTTAATTGTGTTGACCTATTTCAATTGCTTTTGTTTGATTTGTTCATTGTAAATTTTGCCAATAAACCTGATTTGCAATGTTGGTTGAATAATTTTGATTACAACTGTATTAGCCCTTACAGAGAACACAGTACTCCTCTGGCCTTTCTCTCCAAAAGAGTCAGCATCTTCCTCTGCACTGAGATGCTGGCTCAGAGATAACAGTCATTTAAGTCCTGGTGTCTGTGCAGTTCTTGTCTGAATTTACAAATGTTTGACACTGATAAGCCCCATGTTGCAGCCTCTCACTTTCCTACAATGTTGCAGTCTAATCATTGTGGGGAGAGGGGGGCATTTTAATGATAAAATGAAAAGTTTTTTCTGAGAAATCTAACTACCAGTCTATACAGTACATAGGCCTTAATTTGTCAAGCTAAACTACATTACGGGAGGATTTAAGGGCTTGCTCATGCCACAGCACATATAAAAATGCACAGAAAATGCATGTACGATGACACACTAAGCGATTGTTCACACCATGTCCAGAACAGATTCGGACCAGAACAGCTTTTGTCTGCATCTGAAATGTATTCCTATGATATTACTGGGCTCTGTTAACACCATAGCAGTCCATACCAATGTGATAAAAAAAAACCTGCATCCACAATTTTTTCTGGTCTGGAATGCGCCGCAATGCATGTAAAAAATGCATGCACATGCACTGGACTGCACCTGAAAGCCCATTTTAAAGCTAATCTAAAAACGCATCAAACATATCTACTCCAGATCTGGTCTTGACATGGGGTAAACAAGCCCTGAAGCTCGTTGACATTATTTAACACGCTGCATTTTTTCTGTATTTTTTTCTGTAAAGGCCATATCAAGAGTAAAGGTATCAATATCTATTTTTTTTACTTTTGATAGATGCATTAAGCGCATTGTGTTAACACACCTTTTCTTTGTTGCACTGGATAAATATGCAGCATGCCTATATTTTTTTTTTTAATGCACACCAATGCACTAGTGTGGTATGAATGGGGCACATAGATTTATATACATATTACAGGTATTTATATATCTCTGACAATGTACACAGCCCTTTACCTAGTACACATTCATTTCCTGCCTTCAAGGAACTTACAAGCTAAAGTCCCTATCTCACATGCATACATACAGGGCCAATTTAAACAGGAGCCAATTAACCCACCGGCATGTCTTTGCAGTGTGGGAGGAGACCGGAGTACCCGAAGGAAACCCACAAAAGCACAGGGAGAACATGCAAACTCCTTAGTGACCTGGCCGGGACTCAAACCAGGGACCCCAGTGCTGCAAGGCAGAAGCACTAACCACTAGATAGCATTTGTTTTTGCTGTGTCTTTGCATTAAGTCTACGTTGGTCGACACAGCTCAATACACTTGGTGCGAATGCGTGCTAAGACATGTTGAAGTGGTTTCTTAACCAATATGATCATGTGTAATTTTAGCTTGTCTGAAAGCTTAAATAACCTCTAGTAAAAATCTACACCCATCATTCCAGGGTGTAGCAAAACACAGATGATAAATGTCTCATCTGTCATCTCAGTGTAAGCATGCCTGGCTGCCACTTATCCATTCTGTCCCCCGTTGCTATCTTGCAGATAAGTCCTGCTGCTTTCTCTACAGAAGTTCAACACACTCCCTGCTGATTGTAGAGCTTTTGGTCTGACTCTGCAGAGGAGGGTGTTGGACTGCTAAACCAAGATTGATGTTCTCAAATAGAAAACATAGATCCTTAGCTACAGGCTAGTGGCAGAGGTCAGGATGGATAAGAGGCAATCGGCATTCTTCATTGAAATGGCAGATAAGATATTTAATACCTGTTATTTTTTTGCACTATGGAAAGAAGTGGGGCAAATGTTTTTACAAGAGGTTAATGGGGCTTAAGCACTATTTAGCAAATATTAAAGAGACATTGTCACATTGCGCGTGCAGGGCAAAGTGACAGCTGCTCTGCAATGGGCATTCCCTGGCTCTCTTATGGTCACCTTGTCTGCACTCTGAAGTCTGAAGTATCAACAAAGTCTGAAATCAGCAAGTTGGGGGAGCAGCGACGCCACTAAACCGGTCATGTTATAGTGCTCTGGCCCAGCCTTGTCACATGCTCCTCCATACCAGGAAGTGCCAGGTATTCTCACCGGCAAGAAGCTCTGAAGAAGTGTAGGTAAGTATGTATACAAGTGATATGTAGCTTAAAGGCATAGTCTACCTTTTGAGAGATTATTAAATGCATATTCATTCATTAAAAAGTTCATTTATTATTATTTTTTGCATTGGTGCCTGCAGGCATTACATTCATAATCAGTGCATCACAGGTACAATGCATAGGCTTCTGCAGACTCTTCCCCAGGTCCGTAC